GGCCAACCGGAGGATCGCCACCTCCGGGGAGACCAGCGCCACCGGCAGCCTGAACTGAACCAGCGCGGCCATCGGCATGGCCGTCGAGACTAGCAGCATGTACTGCACCAGCACCCGGAAGGCGAGCATCGGCATGGCCGTCGACACGAGCAGCATGAACTCCAGAAAGGCGAGCATCGGCATGGCCGTCGACACCAGCAGCCTGAAGTGAACCAGCGCGGGCATCGGCATGGCCGACGACACCAGCAGCATGTACTGCACCAGCACCTGGAAGACGGACATCGGCATGGCCATCGACACGAGCAGCATGAAATCCAGCCTGCGCCGGACGGCTGCGGGCCCGTGACTGGCTGGCCGCGGGGCGTGCGCTGAGCCAGAAGCAGACCTCCGTGCGGCCGTCGGAGAAGCGGTGGCCGCGGTCCACCACGACAGCGTTACCAGCCTGCTCCTCGAGGGCCGTCAGGGCGCTGAGAAGCACGGCCCGCGCCGTGGGCGACGTGCGCGGCCGCGCGGGGTCGAGGACCACCTTGACCTTCCCGCGGCCCTCGATGGCGGCGGCGCCGAAGGTGAGGTGCGCGGCGGCTCCAGCGACGACCTGATCGCGCAGCCAGCGAAGGCGCGCGTGGACCACCATGGCACGAGAGAGCGCAGGGGCGCTGAGAAAGTAACGGAACAAGCAAGAGCTTGAGCGAAATGGTTACTGGAGGAGGGAGGAGGGAGGAGGGAGGAGGGAGGAGGGAGGCGGGAGGAGGGAGGATGAGAGGAGGAGGAGGAGGACGAGGAGGAGGAGGAGGAGGACGATGACGAGGACGAGGACGACGAGACGAGGAGGAGGAGGAGGAGAGGAGGAGGAGGAGGAGGAGGAGGAGGAGGAGGAGGAGGAGGAGGAGAGGAGGAGGAGGAGGAGGGAGGAGGAGGAGGAGGAGGAAGGAGGAGGAGGAGGAGGAGGAGGAGGAGGAGTCGCTGGACGCGCCCCGCTTGCAGAATGTCGACACGGCCCTCCAAAAGGCCCTTGAATCCTCATCGTGCGCCCTTATTCTGCGAGGTGGCCGTGCTGCTTCTGCCCTTCGACCGACTGCGCCGCCGCCCTCCGTCGCCGTAGCCAGTGCGGCTCCAGCGCGCCCGGGGGCAGCAGCGGCAGATGCCGGGCCGGCCGAGGTCGGACAGCAGCTGGGGGGGCATAGCTGTAGTCGTCGGGACCTCGGACATGGTCACGCGGGACCAGGCGCTCGTGAGGCGCCTCTCGGGTGTTGCTAGAGGTGCTCCACCCACGGCCTCAGAGCACCCCTCGCGAGGCTCAGAACGCCCCAGGGGCTCCAGAACTCAGCGAAGAGCACCCATGCCCTTATATAGGCTCCAGAACGGAGGACCCCAGGGGCTCCAGAATGGGGGTACCCCAGGGGCTCCATCCAGGGGGCCCCTTGCGCCAGGGGCGCCTTCAGCGACCCCCGAGCCTCACGGACATGATCAACGACTCATACGGGCACCGGCGCATCTCGGACCGCGAGGTCGCCAGCAGGCTGTCGCACGGGGACCGGGGCAGCTGCGCCAACCGGGTGCTGCACCTGGCCTTCCGCGACGGCGCTCTGGCCGGGTGCTGCTCCTCGACGATCCAGCCGCCCTTCCCAGACCCCCGACGTCGTGATGTTCGTGACGTCGACCCCCAGAGGTCTGGAACCCTTCCCCAGGACCAGTTTTTCATCCTGCGTATCGTTTTTGGACGCTCCCGTGGCCCGGCGAGGGCCACCAGAGGCCGAAAACGACCAAAGACCTCCCGTCCTGTCACGACGAGGCAGTAGCCAAAAACCTCCCGCCGCGGTTTTGCTCACAATGCGAGGGGGTCTGTGTTCACCTGCTGTTGCTGCGGCCACTGGGGCCTCCTGGCCGTCGCCCGCGAGGCGCAGGGCGCCGGCGTGGCCTCCGCGCTGGTCGCCGCCGCGGAGCGGAGGCTCGCCGCCGCCGGCTGCGCGGCCGTGCAGATCGAGTACGAGTACGAGGTCGGCGACGAGTTCTCCGAGCGCCTGCGGCAGTGGTATCCTTCCTCTCACCCTCCTCCTACTCCTGCTCCTCCTCCTCCTCCTGCTCCTCCTCCTCCTCCTCCTCCCTCCTGCTCCTCCTCCTCCTGCTCCTCCTCTTCCTCCTCCTCCTCCTCCTCTCCTCCTCCTCCTCCTCCTCCTCGCGATCCTCCTCGCGATCCTCCTCGCGATCCTCCTCCTCCTCCTCCTTCTCCTCCTCCTCCTCCTCCTGCTCCTCCTCCTCCGCCTCCTCCACGAGGACCCAGACCCCTTCGCGCTGTGACAAAAGTCACGACGGGGGGGTTCTCGCTATCTTTGGCCTCCAGGGGTCCTTGCCGGACCTCGGGGCCGTCAAAAAACGACTCGGGATGAAACACCGAGCCTGGGAAAGGGGTCCAGACTCTGAGAGTCGAGGTTGCGAAAAAAAAAATCACGACGTCGGAGGTCTGGGGACTTCCGACGTCGACGTCGACCCCCAGAGGTCTGAATCCCCTCCCCGGGACCGGTTTTTCGTCCCGAGTCGTTCTTTGACGGCCCCACCTGCGAGGGCCCCCAGGGCCGAAAATAGCGAAAAGCCTCCCGTCGCGATTTTTTCACAACGCGAGGGGGTCTGTGTCTCGACTGCACGTAAGAGTGACGCTTCCCCAGGGTGATCATTTTGTTGCGGGCCCACTGGCGTCCCCCGATCGCCGAGAAGCAGCGGCTGCTGCGCGCTTTTTGGGCCTGGAACCCCACCAAAGGTCACTCTTGCCTCCTCGTCCTCGTCCTCGTCGTTGTCGTCGTCGTCGTCCTTCTCCTCCTCCTCCTCCTCCTCCTCCTCCTCCTCCTCCTCCTCCTCGTCCTATTCCTCCTCCACCTCGTCCTCCTCCTCCTCCTCCTCCTCCCGCCTCCCGCCTCCTTCTCGTCCGCGTCCTCGTCCTCGCCCCGAGGTACGAGGGCAGGTTGGGCTTCCGGTGCCTGAGCGGCGCTCCGGGGTCCGCCGCCGGGCGCCGGGAGTTCCGCCTCTGCCACAAGCTCGTGCGGCCCACGGGCTGCTCCCACTGCTGCCACCTCTGCGGCAGCTGCGTCGTGTCTTGACGGGCCCCGCGGCCAGGCGCGCGGCGTGCAGTTCACCGGGCGTGCGGCGGCGAGCGAGGGCCGGGACGCGAGAGGGAGCAGGCCTTCTCCCCAGACCCCCTCGCGTTGTGAAGAAGTGTTTGCGGGAGGTTTTCCCCGATGTTCGGCCTCCGGGGGCCCTCGCCGGGCCTCGGGACCGTCAGAAAACGGCCCAGGTCGAAAAGCCCGGGGACTCCAGACCTCTGGGGGTCGACGTCGTTCAAAAATCAGGACGTCGGGGGTCTGGGTCAGAAGGCGGTGGGGCTTCTCAGAAGGCCTCCAGCCTTCTGGGAGGCCTCCTGTGTCTTCGGGGGAGGCTTAGACAGCTTCTCAGGCGGAGGCCAGGGGACTTCCGAGCCTCCCGGGAAGGCCCGCCCACTTCCCCCCCCGGGGCTCGCCGCCGAGCTGTCGTCTGTCAGGCCAGTGCTCGCCAGCCCCGTCGGCATCTTCCTGGACGCGGCTGCGCTCGTGGCAGGAGGGGCTGGCTGCGAGAGGGTGCGTCAGAGTGCAGCCCCGGCGTGCCACGGCGCACGGCTCAAGGACCATGGAAGCCGAGTGGGCGCGTCCCGTTTGGGGCAGAATTAGGACTGGCCGCCACATCCTGTGTTACGCGCAGCGTTTGTCTTTGCTGTCGGCGTGATCACGACTCTCTTTTTGCAGTTGCAGTCTTTCGCTCGCACCTTCGGGGTTGTTCTGGAGTTGTTGCCGCGTTGTGTTGTTTGTACGGCGAGTGGGGACGACGCAGAGTGTGACTCTTCAACAGAGCGACTTGGTGCGGCACTGGCACTCGTGATGGGTCGCTGAGGGGGCATGGTCCCTTGCTTGCGCCTCAATCCTCGGATGCGGAGGGGCGAGTCAGGAGGGGAAAAGCACACAGACACAATGCATCGTCGGCCTCCAGGAAGAGATGGGAAGAGAGGGGAAGTGGGGGGTTAAGACGAAAACCCCGAAAATCTGGGAACAGATGGGGAAGCCTGGGATGTCCATGTATTTGTGCGCCCCTGGGCCCCTTTATTAAAAAGAGAAGGGGGGAGAGCCGCGCGCGGCAGCCAGGCGAGCACCTGTTCCCGAAGCAGCGCGTGGAGGGGCTGAGCCACCGCCGCCTGGAGGCCCCCCCCCGGGTAAGGGGGACGAAAAGGCGGAACCCCCTGCTCGCCGATGCCATCAAGTCGGGCCTGTCCCTCTACAGGGGGAGCATTCAAGAATTGCCAAAAAATAGTCGGGGGACGATTCTTTGAGTATTTGTTGGACCATTTTGGAGCATTTGGGGGATATTTTTTATTTTTCGCCCAAAATCGGCCTGTAGGGGGACAGGCCCGACTTAACGATACCATGTTCGTCCCCCCCATTCCCCCCGACTCAAAGTTAGGCTCTGGCGTGGTGGAGGCCCCGTTTTTTTTGTTTGTCCTTGCAAGCCTGCGCTCTTGACTGTCTGGGAGCAACTTTGAATGTGGGGTGGGAGGAGGGGAGGGGGCAGTGTCAGGGGTTCCACGTTTTTGTCCATCTGCGGCCCCCCCCCTGCTGCTCTCTCGTGGTGTGGCGCGTCGGACGCCGGCCCAGACGTGCGATGCGACCTGGTTTCTGCAATGCGGGGTCCCCGGGCCCCCTCGCGCTATGGAAAGATCACGCCGGACGGTTTGTCGCTGTTCTCGGCCTCTGCAGGCGGCCCCGACTGGGCCTCGGGGCCGTCACGAGACGACCTGCGGGACGAAAAGCCGGTCCCAGGGAAGGGGTCCAGACCTCTGGGGGTCGACGTTGTGCAACAATCACGACGTCGGGGGTCTGGACTTGCTGCTCTCTCGTGGCGTGGCGAGTCGGCGGCCAACCCGGACGTGCGAGGCGCGCCGACTTTTGTCAGTGGGGGGTCCCGGGAAGTCCCGACCCCAGCCCTGACTTCGGATCCGCCGTGCTTTGGGCGATGTGGTAGGTGCAAGCTCCGTTGGCACCGTTTTCCGCCCTGCGTGGCCGTCGCTGCTTCGGCCATGCCTTCCGCTTCCCCCGAGGCGGGAACTTCGGCACTGTGTTTTCGCACGGGCCGGGGAGCCCAGCAGAGGGCCCCCGGAGGCCGAAGCAATACCGAAGTACCTCCCGCCGCGGTCGCCTCACGACGCGACGGGCGTCCTGGGGGCCCCCTCCCCCACCATTGGATGGCTCCCCCTCGCGAAGTCCGAAGACGAGGCCCAGCGAGGGCTCCTCGACGCCGAAGTAGCGGCCAGAGACCTCCCGGTCTTGATTTGTTGTATAGGCGACGCGGTCACGTCTGGGGTTGGGAGGAGCCGGGGCGCCGCGGCCGGGAGCCAGCCGTAGCGGGCCTCTTCAGCCCAGGGGTTGTGAGACTCTGTGGCTCCCAGACGGGGTCGGAGCGGATGGGGTCAGAGCATAGCCTGTGCTCGAAGAAGGAAACGCCATGGATTTCTTGGATCGGCGCATGGGCCCCCCCCAGCGGCGCCTCCGGCGCCGCCCCTGGCGCGCTCCGCGCGCCAGGGAGGGGGGTCCAGCGCAGATCCAAGAAATCCGCGCGGAGCGCCAACAGTTTCTGTGTATGTAGTTGTTTCTTCTTCCATGTGTACGCCTTGGTGGCGGAGATCGCTTCTCTCTTCAGAGCCTCCTTTCGAGGAGACTGCGCTCTGGAAAGTGCACTCTGGGCCCCCTGGACCTCGGGCACTACACTCCAGTAGCACGCTTTGCTCACCAACTCAAGCCAGGAGACACTAGAGTGCTCTTTGGATCCCTCAAACCTTCGATTGCCGATGCATCGCCGACGCGGCTCGATGTGGAGCTCGATTTTCTTGACGCCGACGGTGCCGATGCATCGCCGATGTATCGGCCCCATCTACTCCGACCCTATCTAGGACTATGATGTTCCAACCTACTTTAGCCTGGATCACCAAAAAGAGCTCCGAGCACCAAGAAAGGTATCGAAACTGAAGGGTTTCGCGTGTCGGGCCCTGGGAGGCGGGACTCGTTCGACACCGTTTCGACACTTCTCTTGGTGCTCGAAACTATTCCTGGGATGTGGTCTTTAAGTACGATGGGAGCAACATAAATGTAGGAGGCCTCTAGAGACGAGCCTGGGCGGCACGCGCCTCGGCTGGGCCGCGGAGGACAGCCGGCGACCCTCCCTCTGGCGCGTGCTCGTCCTCCCCAGGCCTCCATGGGGCACCTCTCGCGGCCACGGCCGCAAGAGTGCCTCGAGCATCTGGCCAGGGCCCAGGCACGACCGCGTCGTGAATCAAAGCAGGACGGGGGGGTTTTGGACGTCCTCGGCTTCCAGGGCCCAGGCACGATCGCGTCGTATTGAAACAAAGCAGGACGGGAGGTTTCTGGCCGTTCTCGGCTTCGGGGCGTCCCCGCCGGGCCTCGGGACCGTGCAAAGCGACTCGGGATGGGAAGCCGGTCCCGGGGAGAGGGTCGGGACTTCCAGGGGCCGCGCGGCGAGAAAGTCAGGGCGTCGCACGTCGCGATTCTTCTCACAACGACGTCCTGCAGAGGTCTGCACCCCTTCCCCGGGACCGGTTCTTCGTCCCGAGTCGTGTCTTGACGGTCCCGAGGCGCAGCAAGGGCCCCCAAAGGCAGAAAGGCAGGACAAGCCCTCCCTGGTTTTTCACCACGCGAGGGGGTCTGGGCAGCTGCGCCGGGCGGGGGAGCCGCCGTCGTCTCGGCGGGTCCTCCCTGCAGGCGGCAGTGCAGCGTGTGCCGTGGTCGGTGGGCCGCTCAACGCCTCTCGACACGGCGGTCCGGGCGGGTCGGGCGCAGCCACTGCAGCGAGCGGAAGAGGCCAGTGACGGGGGCAGACCCTGTCATTTCGAGCTGCGCTGAAGTCGGGCCTGTCCCTGTTATACAGGGGGAACGTTCAAACATAGTGAAAACAACATGTCTGGGGACTATTTTTCTTTCATTCTTGTGACCATGTTTGAGCCATTTGGGGGGTATGTTTAATTTTTCGTCCAAAATCCGCCTGTAGGGGGGCACGCCCGACCTACAGCTGCGCGCCAGGAGCGGCAAGGTGGAGGTGGAGACACAGCGCAGATGTTTGCCACCCCGGGGCGCCCCACGCAGGCTGATCTGACCGAAGTCTCGCTGGGATCGACCCGGCTCGATCCGATTATGGCCGGCTCGAGCTGATTCGATTCCGACTACTACATTGGGCCGATGCGGCTCGATGCTTGCATGGCGGGGTTGTGCATCCATGTGCGGCCGATCCGATTCGATTTCGACTTCGTACTGCAGCCCGATCCGACGCACATTCCCATTCGGTCCGATTTCCCGACTCGATGCGGTCAGGGTTTGGAAGCACTAGGCTTGACTGACTGAGGCCTTACCACGCCTCACGCGCATTGCAATCTCAAGCCCTTGAGTTTCCAGCAAGCGGTGCTAGCGTGTCAGCGTCGTTGGCGCCGTCGTCGTCTGACCAAGATCGGCTCAAAATCGGTCGTTGGACTCATTCCAGGGCCCATCCTGGTCAGTCTCTCGAGCCGCGCCTAGCCGCGGCGACGAGGGCCTCCGGAAGCGCCCACCAGAGCCTCCGAAATGAGGACGCCGAATTTCGACATCGACGCCGTCAGCGACGCCAGCGTTGTTGTCGTCGCCGTCGTCGTCGTCGTCGTCGGCGTCGGCGTCGGCGTCGGCGTCGGCGTCGGCGTCGGCGTCGGCGTCGGCGTCGGCGTCGGCGTCGGCGTCGGCGTCGGCGTCGGCTTCGGCGTCGGCGTCGGCGTCGGCGTCGGCGTCGGCGTCGGCGCCGGCTTCGGCGTCGGCGTCGGCGTCGGCGACGTCATCAGCGTCGGTGTCGGCGGCGGCGGCGCGAGACAAACGTCGTCGTCGTCGTCGTCGTCTTCTCCGCCAGCGGCGTTAGGGTCGGCGTCGGCGTCGGCGTCGGCGTCGTCGTCGGTGAGCGTCGAACTTCGAAAGTCGTCGTCGTCGTCGTCATCGTGGTGGTCGTCGCCGTTGTCGTCGCTCCCGGCGGCGTCAGCGTCGGCGTCGGCGTCGGCGTCGGCGTCGGCGTCGGCGTCGGCTTCGGCGTCGGCATCATCGTCGGCGAGCGTCGAACGTCATCGTTGTCGTCGTCGCCGTCGTCGTCGCCCCCAGCGGCGTCAGCGTCGGCGTCGGCGTCGTCGTCGTCGGCGGCGAGGGTCGAACGTCGTCGCCCCGAAGGCCACGGGGCTACGCCGCTTCGAGCACCTGCCGCCTGGGTACACCCTGGAGAGGGCAGACCTTGGCGGCGGCTCCTTCGCGAAGGCGTGGGTCGCGGGGGCAGGGAGCGAGGGACTTGCAAGGATGATGTCGATTGTGATGTAGCTGGTGATGATGGCGACGACGATGATGACGGTGGTGGTGGTGGTGGTGGTGGTGGTGGCGATGATGATTGATGGTGGTGATGGTGTTGGTGATGATACAGGTGATGAGTATGGATATGAGTATGATGGCCCTGCTGCTGACTGATGGTGATGGTGTAGTGGTGGCGCGGAAGGGGAGGAGGAGGAGGAGGAGGAGGAGGAAGAGGAGGAGGAGGAGGACGAGGAAAAAGAGGAGGAGGGGGAAGAGAAAACATAAGAGGATGAGGAGAAGGAGGAAGAGCAGGAGGTGAAGGAGGAGGACGAGCAGCATAAGGGACGAGATCGAGAAGGATGGCGGCGAAGAGCACAAGGAGGACGAGCAGGCGGAGGAAGGCAGATGAGGAGGGGGCATGGGTGAGTCCCTGGAGGTTCCCCCCCGCAGGTGTTCCTCGTGCGCAACGACTTCACGGGCGACCTGCAGGACGACCCCCGCGGGCGCGCGCGCGCGCGCAAGGAGAAGGTCGCCTTGAGGCGAACGTGGCCACGGCCGACGGCGTCTGCGATGACGGCGACGATGACGGCGGTGACTGCGATGATTGCGACGAGGATGACGTCGACGAGTGCAACTGCGAGTCGGTGTCGACGGCGGCGGCGGCGGCGGCGACGAGGAGGAGGAGGGGGATGAGGCGGAGGAGAGGAGTGCAGGGAGGAGGAGGAGGAGGAGGAGGAGGAGGAGAGAGAGGAGCGCAGCAGCAGCAGGAGGAGAGCGCAGCAGCAGCAGGAGGCGCAGAAGGGAGGAGGAGGAGGAGGAGGAGAGGAGGAGGAGGAGGCGGAGGAGGAGGAGGAGGAGGAGGAGGAAGGAGGATGAAGAGGAGAAAGAGGAGGAAGAGGCGGAGGAGGAGGGAGACAGAAGTAGGAGGATGACGATAGCGATGGCGATGACGATGGCGAGTGCGATGACGATGGCGATGGCGATGACGATGCCGATGATGATAATGATGAGGAGGAGGAGGATGAGGATTATTATTATTATGTTGATGATGGTGCTGATTTTGATGATGCTGATGCTGGCGATGAAGATGGTGATGATGATAATGATGATGATGACGATGATGATGATGATGATGATGGTGATGATGATGATGATGATAACGGTGGTGGTAATGATGATGCAGATGATGATGATGATGATGATGATGATGATGATGATGATGATGATGATGATGATAATAAGGAGGAGGAGGAGGAGTAGGAGGAGGGGGAGGTGGATGCTGATGCTGATGATGGTGATGGTACTGATGATTGTGATCATGATGGTGCTGGTGGTGACTGTAATGATGACGAGGAGCATGATGCAGATTATGATGAGGATGCGGATGTGGACGAGGATATGGACGAGGATGGGCATGATGATGAGGATCATGATGACGGTGGTGGTGGTGACAATTACGATGATTAGAACGATGATGATGACGATGATGCAGATAACGATGATGAGGATGATGATGCTTTTGGTGATGATGATGATGATGATGATGATGTTGATGATGATGATGATGACGATGACGATGATGATGATGATGATGATGATGATGATGACGATTGTTATGATGATGATGATGATGGTGATGATGATGACGATGATGATGAATATTATCCGTAAGGGCATCGCCCCCTGCCGCCGGCCCCCTCTCTCGGAGAATGGGCCATGGAAGAGCTAAGTCATGAGGCTTTGGCGCTGTCGTGCAGCAGTATCGGAACTTCATGCGAGGCCGATTCGCAATCGGCAAAACCAACTGATCACAAGAGGGGTTACCACACAGGGCGATTGGTAAGACGTGTATGGTTTACGAGCTTGGTTACCACACCTTGGGATTAAAGGGCCGAGGGAGTACTCGCAGTTTGGGTTACCACGCCTTGCGATGGATGTGCGTGAGGGGTGGCACCGAATTTCAGAAATGTGGCAAATCCCCTGTGTTTTTGGACCCTGACCCCGCGGATCTGCGTGAGGGGTGGCACCGAATTTCAGAAATGTGGCAAATCCCTGTGTTTTTGGACCCTGACCCCGCGGATCTGCGTGAGGGGTGGCACCGAATTTCAGAAATGTGGCAAATCCCTTGTGTTTTTGGACCCTGACCCCGCGGATCTGCGTGAGGGGTGGCACCGAATTTCAGAAATGTGGCAAATCCGATGTGTTTTTGGACCCTGACCCCGCGGATCTGCGTGAGGGGTGGCACCGAATTTCAGAAATGTGGCAAATCCCCTGTGTTTTGGGACCCTGACCCCGCGGATCTGCGTGAGGGGTGGCACCGAATTTCAGAAATGTAGCACATCCCCTGTGTTTTTGGACCCTGACCCCGCGGATCTGCGTGAGGGGTGGCACCGAATTTCAGAAATGTGGCAAATCCCCTGTGTTTTTGGACCCTGACCCCGCGGATCTGCGTGAGGGGTGGCACCGAATTTCAGAAATGTGGCAAATCCCTTGTGTTTTTGGACCCTGACCCCGCGGATCTGCGTGAGGGGTGTCGATTTCGAGCCCCCCCAGCAATTCAGACAACGCGCCCAGGTGAGGCCAAAAATCCTGTTTGGGCCTCCCGCGGTCAATCAACTAGTTACAGTAACCAGCAAGAAGTCAACTAGTTACAGTAACCAGCAAGAAGCAGAACTGTAACACTGGAAACTACAACCTACGACTGGTACAGGAAACTGCGAATCACGTGCCTCGCAGCCTGGTGGCCCCACAAGGGGGCCGGCGGATTATGCTGATGATGTTGATGTTTTTGGTGGTGATGATGATGATGCTGCTGATGATGATGATGCTTAAGGCGATCCCTCCAACCACCGATTCATCCAGACCGACATCCGAGAGCCACGCGTGTGCGCAAGGGCTCCCCCCCTGCCTGAGCGACCAGGTCTACCCCCCAGGTCGGCCTGATCCACCGCGCCTGCGGCGAAGAAGGAGATGATGCCCTCCTAGTCCACTGAGGGGAACTGCCAGACCTGGGCCCCGCAGGAAAGACGGTCCTGCTGTCATTCGCCCGCCGGTCCCCGCAGGGGGAGGGAAGCCAAAATTATCCCGGCAAAGCAACCTAACAGCGATGTGTAGGAGCATATCTGGAAGCATTCCCCTTAATATTCAGATAAGAATCCTGTTATAGAATTCTGCTGTTCTCGCAGTCGTGGTCGCATTCGCGATGGCAGTCGCAGTGGCAACAGCAGTCGCAGTCACAGCCTCAGCCTCAGCCTGCCTCAGCCTCAGCCTCAGCCTGCCTCAGCCTCAGCCTGCCTCAGCCTCGCCCTCAGCCTGCTTCAGCCTCAACATCAGTCTGCCTTCAGCCTCGGCCTCAGCCTGCCTCAGCCTCAGCCTGCATCAGCCTCAGCCTGCCTCAGCCTCGCCCTCAGCCTGCTTCAGCCTCAACATCAGTCTGCCTTCAGCCTCGGCCTCAGCCTGCCTCAGCCTCACCCTGCATCAGCCTCAGCCTCAGCCTCAGCCTGCCTCAGCATCAGCCTGCCTCAGCCTCAGCCTCAGCCTGCCTCTGCCTCAGCCTCAGCCTGCTTCAGCCTCAGCCTCAGTCTGCCGTCGGCCTCGGCCTCAGCCTCAGCCTGCCTCACCCTCAGCCTGCATCAGCCTCAGCCTCAGCCACAGCCTGCCTCAGCATCAGCCTGCCTCAGCCTCAGCCTCAGCCTCAGCCTGCCTCAGCCTCAGCCTCAGCCTGCTTCAGCCTCAGCCTGAGTTGCCTGCAGCCTCGGCCTCAGCCTCAGCCTGCCTCAGCCTCAGCCTGCCTCAGCCTCAGCCTCAGCCTCAGCCTCAGCCTCAGCCTCAGCCTGCCTCAGCCTCAGCCTCAGCCTCAGCCTCAGCCTGCCTCAGCCTCAGCCTCAGCCTGCTTCAGCCTCAGCCTCAGTCTGCCTTCAGCCTCGGCCTCAGCCTCAGCCTGCCTCAGCCTCAGCCTGCATCAGCCTCAGCCTCAGCCTCAGCCTGCCTCAGCATCAGCCTGCCTCAGCCTCAGCCTCAGCCTCAGCCTCAGCCTCAGCCTGCTTCAGCCTCAGCCTCAGTCTGCCTTCAGCCTCGGCCTCAGCCTCAGCCTGCCTCAGCCTCGGCCTGCATCAGCCTCAGCCTCAGCATGTGGCTCCGGGCATTCAGAATGTGGCCCGGGAATGGAGTTCTGGGAAATCGAAGAGCACGAAGTGTGTGACTGTATGCGAAAAACGATCCCCCCCGGCAAACCCCAACGGCCCCCCAACGGCTCCCCAACGGCTGCCCAGACCCCCCTGTGTCAAAACGAAACTTTGCTGTGAATTCTGGCAGAGGAGGAAGAGGAGGAAGAGGAGGATGGGAGGAGGAAGAGGAGGCGGAGGGCATCCAAATGTGGCCCGGGAATGGAGTTCTGGGAAGTCGAAGAACACGAAGTGGCCTACAGTTGGCTCCGGGCATCCAAAATGTGGCCCGGGAATGGAGTTCTGGGAAATAGAAGAGCACGAAGTGGCCTACAGTTGGCTCCGGGCATCCAAAATGTGGCCCGGGAATGGAGTTCTGGGAAATAGAAGAGCACGAAGTGGCCTACAGTTGGCTCCGGGCATCCAAAATGTGGCCCGGGAATGGAGTTCTGGGAAGTCGAAGAGCACGAAGTGTGTGACTGTTGCATCCGGGCCCTCCAGAATGTGGCCCGGGAATGGCGTTCTGGGAACTCGAAGAGCACGAAGTGTGTGACTGTTGCATCCGGTTATTCTAAAGGTGGCCCGGGAATGGCGTTCTGGGATCTCGAAGAGCACGAAGTGTGTGACTGTTGCATCCGGTTATTCAGAATGAGCCTGGGAATGGAGTTCTGGGAACTCGAAGAGCACGAAGTGTGTGACTGTTGGTGAAAAACGAGCGGGGCCCCCTGCCGCCCGGCAACTCCCAACGCCTGCCCGGACCCCCCTGTGGAGTGATCTGTGAGCTCTTTTGAGTCCATTAGAAACCTATCAGTCTTCGCTGTTAGGTAAAAAGCGCCCCACGTACAGGGAAACGTGCTGCTGTGATGCAGGTGTTCCCTGTCCGGCCCCGGCGGTGGTGCCTCTTGGCAGGCTTCGAATGATGCGTCCACCGTAGGCGCCAGAGCTCTGCGAGCAAGGACCCCAGGCAGTGACCCTGGGAAGCCTTAGAACAGACTGGCGGTGGCACATGCGAGGACAGTGCAAGCGCTGTCGGGGACAACTCGCACACGAGTGGAGTGAGGGAGTGGGGAGGGGTATATGAAGCTGAGGGAGGGAGTGGGGAAAAGGGTGACGGCTGTTCCAGGGCATACGTACGGCTTGGCCAGCACAGCCCCTGCTGCTGAAACGAACCTGCCGAACATTAAATGCACTGACCTGCCACGCCTGTGGGGTCGTCCGCATTGGGTGCCCTTGCGTCCGGGGCCTCAAATCCGGATGCCTTTGGTCGGGGCGGGAATGCTGGTAGTTATTGTGCAGGCCTTCGGCCGGTGCTGCCGACCCTGTATGCGAGGAGGACAGATGGAACAATTGGACGAGGGGGGGGCCTCTTGGGTCTTCCGCGGCCTTTTTGGGGTCTCTTGGGGGCCTCCTGAAAGCTTCTCGGATCTTCCTCAGGGCCTCTTGGGGGCCTCTGGGTGCCTCTTGGGAGGCCCCCCCTTGGGGTCCTCGTGGGGCCTCGTGGGAGGCTCCAAAGCTTCTTTCGAGTCTCCTGTCTGGGTACGCTCTGGGAGCCGTCTTGGAGGCCTCTTGCGCCGTCTTGGAGGCCTGTCGGGCTGCCTGGGGGCCCTCTTTGGTCGTTTCGGGGCCCTCTTGGAGACTTCTGAGGCGATCTTGGAGGCCTCTTGGGCCGTCTTGGAGCGTCGGGAAGCCGAGAAGGCGAGCACACCAATGCCTCGGCGCCGCCGGCCCCAGCGAGCCCACGCCCTGCAACCTCTGCGGCACCGAGCTGCTCGACTCCGCGGGCGCGCACGCCTTGCCCGGCGGAGGGGATGCTCGGGCGGGGCGTGGCGGTACCGCCGCCTGGCCAGCGCGGCCGGAGTGGCAGTCTGGCGGCGGGCGGCTGCCCACGTCAGGGCGCGCTGGCCCGAGCGGGGCGACGACTGAGGGCGCCGGCTCCCCCCGCCCCCCCTCCCCCGCCCGCCTCTCCCCGGCGCGCGTGCCTAACCAGCGGGGCGTGGTGGCTCACGCCCCGCGGCGGTGCTTCCCCCGCCGCCGCCTGCGTGCCTGCCTGCTTGCGTCCTGCTGCTCTCCCTCCCTCTCCTCCTCCTTCCTTCGATTCCTCCTCCTCTCTTCTCTTCTCGGGGCCCGGAGGCCGCGTGTCGACGCGATGCGCTTTGTTTTTCCTCCTCCTCCTCCTCCTCCTCCTCCACTTCCTCCTCCTCCTCCTCCTCCTCCTCCTCCTCCTCCTCCTCCTCCTCCTCCTCCTCCTTCTTGCAAGCAAGACACTGTCTGGCTTAATCCACTCAGTCAGACGTGTCTGGGCCTGCGACTCGCCAAAGACGGGCGCGCAAGTCTACAGGTGGGACGCTGCGGCAGGCCGGTGCGCGGAGGTCTCGCCGCAGGGCTCCCGGGACCTTCGTGTATTTTGGGGCCTGTCCCTCCAGGTGTTCCTCGCTTTGATCGACCCAGGCAGCGGCCGAACATCGGCCTCGCTGCCGGGACACAGCTTTGGCTCGGCGTTGCTTTTCGTGCGTCGGTCAACCCCTCGCCACAGGCGTCGCGGAGGGAAGCCGCGAGCATTCAGCAGTGCTGCATTTTTTTCGGCAGCCCGAGTGTCCGCTGCGTGTGCTGCTTCTCTGCCCCAACTGGGGGGTCGGCGAGCAGCGTGTGCATCTCGAGGCCCTCCTCGATCGAAGACCTCGTGGCCGCAGCCTCTTCCTCCCCCATCCTCCTCCTACTTTTCTCCTTCTCCTCCTCCTTCCTGTCCCCTTGCTGTTGGGTTTCTTCGCGGGTTTCGAGCACCTGGGGGCTTGCCCCGACTGCCTTGCAACGTGAGCTGTCGAACCTGACATGTGGTTGCCGCATGGCTTTTTTATATAAAAAACACACAAGGAGCATTTATGTGTTTTACCTCTTGCGGCCCTTTCGGAGAGTTCTTGAAGGCTTCTTGGAGCGTCTTGGAGGTGTCTTGGGCCGTCCGGAGGCCATCGGTGGCGTCTGGGACGGATAATCCGGCGATTCGGGGCATTCCTGGACCGTCTAAGAGGCCCCTAGGGGCACTCTTGACCCGTCTTGGGTTTTTTGGGGCCCCCTGGACTTTCAAAGGGGGAACGTCTTCTGACCAGGGACCGCCATCGGCACCCCCTCTGAGGAAGGGATCGAAGGGAAGGGGCTTCCCTTCGACTCAATTTCGATGTTGCTCGATTTCGCTTTGACTGGCGCGCTTGAGGAGGAGGGCTTAGGGAAGGGGAGGAGTGGCGACGGCGACGGCGACGGCGACGACGACGACGACGATGCCGACGACGATGACGACGACGACGACGAATGGAAGAGCGTCTTCCACACGCCAACAGGGTCGGCGGAATCATGCCTCGGCTTGCGCAGGAATGCCAGTGGTTCGTCACCACCAGACCATCCCCCTGCGTGACCTTCCTTCCCGTAGTTAGAGCCGCGATGATGATGAGGAGGAGGATGAGGATGAGGATGAGGATGAGGATGAGGATGATCGAGGATGGTGGTGGTGATGCTAATGGCGTCGATGATGATGGTTAGTATCATGACGGTGAGGGGCAGGGCGCATGGGAGCACGCTGCACGACGAGGAATCCAGATGACGATGATGATGAGGATGATGCTGCTGCTGCTGATGATGATGATGATGATGATGGTGATGGTGATGTTGATGTTGATGATGATGATGATGATGATGATGATGTTGGTGATGGTGATGTTGATGGTGAAGGTAATGATGATGATGATGATGATGATGATGATGATGATGATGATGATGCCGATGATGATGCTGACGATGGTGATGATGATGATGATGATGATGATGTCATGATGATGCCGATGATGCTGGTGATGATGATGAGGATAATGATGATGATGGTGGTGGTGATGATGATGATGATGATGATGATGATGGTGATGGTGATGGTGATGGTGATGATGATGATGATGATGAGGAGGAGGAGGAGGAGGAGGAGGAGGAGGAGGAGAAGGACGAGATTGAGAAGGATGAGCAGGGTGAGAATGCATGATGGAGAATGCTGAGGATCCGTCGCCCCGGCAGGGGCCTGCGGCCTCCTGGGGCTGCCCGCTGCCTCGTGAGGCCCTCAAGCGGGTGGACCGCGAGCGGGCGTCCAGGCACTTCGGCATGGACGACGCGCAGGCAGCCGCCGCCCACCGCCGTCCTCCTCCGCCCTCCCTCATTATCCTCTTGCCTCTCCTCCGCCTGCTCCTCCTCCTCTTACCTCTCCTCCTCCTCCTCCTCCTCCTCCTCCTCCTCCTCCTCCTCGTTCCTCCTCCTCCTCCTCCTCCTGCTCCTCCTTCTCCTCCTCCTTCCCTCCCCCCCCTCCTCCTCCCCCCCTGCCTCTCCTCCCTCTCTCTCCTCCTACTCCTCTCCTCCTCCTCTCCTCCTCCTCCTCCTTCCCCTCCCCCTCCTCCTCCCCGTGACTCTCTCCTCCTCCTCCTCCTCCTCCTCCTCCTCCTCCTCCTCCGCGGCCTCAATGTTTCTTGGCCTGCTCTCCTCATCCTGCTCCTCCTCCCCTTCCAGCCCTCATCCTTACATAGCAACCGCCTCCCTGCCGCGCCACCAGGCGTGCCAGTGGTGCGGGCCGGGCCTTTCGCCCCCGAGACTTCCTCGTCGCGTGTGCTCCGGAAGCTCGCACCGTGCAGTAGATCCACGGGTGGACAGCGGGCTGGCTGCAAAATGTGGCTCTCTCGCCCGGGCGCCGTGCGCATTCATGTTGCAAAAGCCTGGCAAAAGGTTCGTCATGTGGTTCTCGCGCTAGCGCCGCGCACATTCGCTTCAAAGTGTACAGCAGTTTCACGGGTGGAGGGCGAGTTGTTTTCACAGTGTGGCTCTCGCCTTAGCGCCGCCCGCGCACAATCGTTTCAAGAGTTTGCGACTGCTTCACGGATGAAGGGTGATTGTTTTTCAAGTGTTGGTTCTCGCTTTGGTGCCGCGCCCAGTCGTTGTGAAAGTTTGCAATAATTTTGAGGGCACACATGGTCGAAGCACCAGGAATAGTGTGCTGGCAAGATGTAGGGTTCTCAGAACGCGGCAGTCATGTTGATGCGCGGTCATGAAGTTCCAGGAACGACGTCCTCGCAAGTTTTTGGATTGTCAGGACGCAGCAGTCACGTTGATTTCGCGACGCGGAAGGTCCAGGAACGGTGTTTTGCGCGATTGGGGATCCTCAGACGTTGGTTTTCCAATGGTGCATTACATGTTTATAGGGCCCTACGGAGAGGGAACTTGGAGGGAGGGGTTATTGCACCATCGTTGGTGCGCCTTGGTTTTACACTGGTCCTCCTCCTTCTTCTCCTGCCCCTCCTTGCCGCTTCCTCCTGCACCCCATCACCATCAGCAGCAGCATCATCATCATCAGCAGCAGCCTCATCAGCATCATCAGAATAATCGTCATCATCATCAGCATCATCAGCATCGCCATCAGCATCAGCATCAGCATCAGCATCAGCATCATCATCATCATCATCATCATCATCAACATCATCATCATCATCATCATCATCATCATCATCATCATAATCATCGTCATCATCATCAGCATCATCAGCATCATCATCAGCATCATCATCAGCATCATCATCAGCATCATCAGCATCAACATCAGCAGCATCATCATCAGCACCAGCATCAGTATTAGCATCATCATCATAATAATCATCGTCATCATCATCATCATCAACATCATCATCATCATCATCATTGTCCCGCTTTCCTTCGTCTCCGTCTCGTCCTCCGCCGCCGCAGCGGCAACACATCTCTCCTTCGTCTCCTTGCTTCCCCGCTCGCCGTACCGCGCCTCCCCCTTTTCGCTGCCTCCTCGTCATCCTTCTCTACTCATCTTCGTCTCCGCCTTCTCCTCCACCGCCATTTCGCTCTTACTCTCCTTCCCTGCACTTTTCTCTTCCCCCCCCCCCCCTTCCCCCCCCCGCCCTCCCCCCCCGCCGCCTCCTGCCCCTTCTTCCCCACTCCCCCCGCCTCTTCCCAATCCCGTCCCCCTCCCCTTCCTTCTTCTCTCCTCCGCCTTCCGCCGAAGAGCAGAGGTCGTCCTCGTCGTGGCCGCCGCCGCCTTGGTCGTCGTCGGCGGCGGCGTCGTCGTCGTTCGACAAGGGCGAGGCGCAGGCCGTTCGGTCGACAGCGGCGGCGGCGGCGGCCTCGCTGGCGGGGGCCGCTTGGCAGCGGCTTGTCGAGGGGGGGGGGGAAGGGGGGAGGGGGCGTCTCTCTGCCTGCTGCTTCTCCCTCGTCCCCGCTCTTGCCATCCATTGTGCTGTACGTTTTTCCATGTTTCCATATCGTGCTTGCAACTGTTGAATTGCAGTTGCGCTCTCCCCTGGGACCTGTGGCGCCATGTAGCAGGTCGCGTGTGGTGTCTGAGTGGGGGCGCGGGGCTGCTTTCAGTCCGTCGCAGCTTCCCGCTGTCAGGCCTTGCCATGGGGTCGCCGGTGCTCAGCGCCAGCGATGCGGCCGCGGCACGGTCGATAGTTTCTCCGCACGCTCCGATTCGGACACAGCGCGCCACAGAGTTATTTTTTCCTCTGCTAGCCCTGAGGCGTGACCGAGGGTACACAACATTACATAGTCTGTGCTGCTGGCAGCCTTTGCTGCTGCCTCTCTGGCCTGGACACGTGCGAGCAGCGCGCGCATTCCAGGAGTCGACACCAAGCCTCTCGGCTCCTCGAAGAACGCCCCCTGGGCCCCCACACTCGGGAACGCTCGGCCCTCGAGGCGGGGCCCGCGTGCACACCTGAAGGCGCGTGCCCGCAGCCTCGCCCCCCCTGCCCCCCCCCGAGCAAAACAAAGCATCTCTTCGGCAGAAGACCCAGACCCCCTCCCGTCGTGAAAAAGTCACAACGCGAGGCTTGTCGCTACTTTTTGGCGCCAAGGGGCCCTTACAGGGCCTCGGGACCGTCAAAAACGACTTAGGATGAAAAACCGGTCCCGGGGGAGGGGTCCAGACCTTTGGGGGTCGACGTTGTGAAAAAAATGCGACGTCGGGGGTCTGGGGATTTCTGAGCCCAGCGCCAGCGCAGACACGCCTCCGACTTGTAAGAAGAGGAGCAACTATAAGATGAAGAATAGAACATGAAGAAGAAGAAGAAAATTAATAATAAGAAGAAGAAGAAATCAAATGATGATAATCATCGGCATACGCAGAAAGTTTCGGATCTACGCGCGGATTGTGTGGATCGGCGCTGGGCCCCTTCCCTTCGCGCGCTGTGCTCCCCAGGAGCGGCGCCAGAGGCGCCGCCAGGGGAGAGGGCCCAGCGCCGACCCGTAAGACATCCGCGTGGGCCTCCAAACGTGCATGTTTATGAAGTGGTTTCTTCTCCGACGCCTGGCATCTCGGAGGTGAGCTCCATGATCGAGCAGGAGTTCTGGCACATGCAGCGCACCACGCACCCTCACATCATCAAGCTGTTCGACTTCTTCCAGGACGCCAGGTACGCGTACTATGTCATGGAGGCTGTGAACGGTGGGACTCTCAAGGAGCTTGCGGAGAACACGTACGGCAAGGCCGGGAAGGAGACCCGCGTATATCTCAGGAGGGATAGGATGTAGGATGAGTGGGAGGGAAGAGGGAAGAACAAGGCAGAGGAAGGAAGGCCAGGAGGAGGGGAGGGACGTGGAGCAAGGGAAGCAGCAGCGTGGAGGTGGACAATGACGAGTAGGAGGGGGATGAGGAGGAGGAGGAGGAGGAGGAGGAGGAGAGAATCTCCTTGTGCTCCCTGTGCCCAGTGGCCTGTAACCAACTTGCAAGAACGCCTGCTCATTTCCTAACTCGTGGTTTCCGAAATCATGGCGTTGTGCCACGCAGCAAGGTGACTATCGACAGCCAGCGTCGATATCTCTCTCACGAACTCCTCTGTCGCGAACCCTCCACCTACCTGCCGAGGGTCAGCCTCTTACTCCCCCCGTCCTACAGGCAGCCACCCCTGCGGCAAGAAGGGGAAGAGGGAGTGGCGGGGAGTGGTGACCGCTGCGCTGGCATGTTGAATGGGAACCGCCGGGGTGGATCCTGGAAGTGCCCCTCGGTGACGACGATATGGGCGAAAAGCCAAGGGGCGGGCAGCACACGTATTTGCCCTGGAAGCTTCGCCGAAGATATGGACCATCGTCGCTTTTGGATGCATAGGAGGAGGAGGAGGAGGAGGAGGAGGAGGAGGAGGAGGAGGAGGAGGGAGGAGGAGGAGGAGGAGGAGGAGGAGGAGGAGGGGGAGATGTATTACCCTCCCCCTCTGGGCTATGTGCCCCCATCCTCGCCCCCGATCCTCCGCGCCGCCTGCAGCCTGGCACGCCTCGCCGGCCGCTCGGCCAATACTCTGCCCTCCGGGCTGCGCGCAGGCCGGAGCAGCCTCGGGCTGCGCGGAGGGCAAGGGCGGGCGGCGGAAGCGGGGCGCCGGAGTGCAGATTTGCGCGGCGCGCAAAAAAACAAAAAAAGCCGGGTCGTCTGCGCCGACATGGCGCGCAAGCTTCCCACGCGAGGTCGCGCGGAGGCGCCCTCGCTTCAGATGGGGCGTGCCGCGCTTGCGGCCTGCGCAAGCCACCGCGTAGGGGTCGCTGCGCCACCTCGCGTTCAAGGCCCGTGTGTTGGATCGTCGCCCAGAGGGCTTTGGGCTGCCGCGGGCGGGCAGCCAGACGGCGGGGCGTGGGGACAGCTGGGCGGCAGACGCAGACATGCGACGTCTTGATGTTTGTTCAATGCGGGGTCCCTAGAAGTCCCAACTCTATCCCCTGGGCCGTTTTTTCGTCCTGAGTCTTTTTTCTGACGGTCCCGCGGCCCCGCGAGGGCCCCCCGAGGCCGAAAGCGGCCAAAAACCTCCCGTCCTGATTTCTGCTACGACGCGATCGCGTCTGGGATCTGCGGTGCGCGTTTCCCGCCCGGTGCTGCCCCAGCGGTGTGCTGCTGCCGGCGCGTGGCGTGCCGCGGTGGGGCACACGTCCTCCAGCGAGGCGGGTGGGGCGCTCTGCCGGGGATGCCACGGCGCCCTTGGCCCGGCCTCGGCCCAGTAAGCTCCACTCGAGCGCCAATCAATGGGGGGCGGTCTGGAGGGTTTCTCCGAAGGGCTTAGGCGACCCGTCCTCCTCCTCCTCCTCCTCCTCCTCCTCCTCCTCCTCCTCCTCCTCCTCCTCCTCCTCCTGGCAGAGAGGGGCCCTCGAGGGTCCTACAGCAAGGGGCCCCTAGGGGCCTTTTATTAGAAGGCCCGAGGAGGGCACCCTTCCCTTCCCCGCCCCCAGCAGTTAATCGCCCCCCCCCCCCCGACTTCGCGCCCACCTCGCTGGGCCCCAGTGCTGGAGACGCGGGCTCGGGCGCTCCTGGGCCGGCCGGCCGCGCGCAGCCTGGCCCTGCACGCGTGCCAGTGCGGCGGGCCCTCCGCCGCAGCTCCCGCTCGGGGCACGTGCCCGCTGCCGGCCTTCCCCCCCCGGCCCGCCTCGCGCGCCCGGCACGCCGCGGCCGCCGGGCCCAACGTGCGCCGGTGCTCCTGGCTCGTCAGGGGCAACGACAGGGGCCGACCAGACGTAAGAGTGACCTTTCGCGGGAGTGACCTTTGGTGTGGGCCCACGGGGGTCCCCCCATCGCCGAGCGCGGTGCGACGGTAGCGTCTTGCGCGCTCGTGTTTGGTCCCTCCGCGGCCCCCACAAAGCCGCGCACCAATGGTCACTCTTGCCCAGGGTCACTCCTGAGTGTAGCCGAAGGGGGGGACAGGCATAGGGGGGTGCATCGACCACCAATAACCCATTGATCGCCGATAGGGGCCCGATAGCCCCAACCTGCCCAGGGAGATGCGGATTCGCTATCGGGGGCCTATCGCCGATCTACCAGCGATGTATCGCATGTATCGCCCATTCCAGGTCGATGTTTCCCCCCCTCTGCTTATCCCCCCATATCGTTGCCCCTCACCTGGGGTATCCCAACTCGTGCCCTCGACGAGCCCTGAGATCCTGGCGTTGCAATCTGTTCACGAACGGTACTTTCGCCTTTTCTTCGGGCCCCGGGACCCTCACATAATATCCATCCGGCGCGAAAAAGGATGTAGAGCGATGGGGTCTGGGGCTCAGGGTGTGATTTGTCATTATGTTGCCATTCTTGCGCTACGTCGGATCTCAGGGAGTGACGGCTGCATACCGCGGCCGCCAGGCCCAAAGTGTGCCGTTGCTCCTTGGGTGCCCCGCCCTGCGTTCTGGGGCGGGGGTCACTGGAAGCAAGACAGCTGCTGTGACGCGCGCAAGCCCCATCCTCCCTGGATTTCCTTCCCCCCATCTCCTTTCACTCTCTATCCCCCCTCCCCTCTGCCCTCCGTTCCTGTTTTTTCCCCTCACCGCGCCGTTCCTGCCCCTCGTTTCCTCTCGTCGTTCCTGTCCGTCCCCCTTTTCTTGCCTGGCCCGCAGGGCCAGCCACGGGGATCGCAGAAGCTGAGCGAGGCGTACGTCGCCGAGATGCTGCAGCAGGCGGCCTACGCGCTGCACCACCTGCACGAGGATGCCGCCCTCGCCCTCGTCCTCGCCGCGCCCTGCGCACCTACAGGCCTCTCGGATGGTCGGAGGAGGAAAAGGTATCCATACCGCTACCCTTTCCCCCGTTGTCGCCTTTTTGGGGCCTCCTGGGAGGCCCTGGATCGTTGCCACCGCTGGATTCGCTTCAAAACTCTGGTCAGAATGCACCCCTGGAGAGGTCCTGGGAGCAGCGGTATCGGAACCTTCTGGTTTCCCAAGGGGGGGCTCCGAGAAGATGGGGTCGGGGGATCGTGCCGCGTCGCCGATGCATCGCCGATGCATCGGCGACGTCGGCGCCGCATCGGCGTGACGGCCTTCTGCCACGCCGATGCGTCGCCGACGCTGAAGGAGCGAGGGCCCGTACCCCTAGGCCTGCACCTTCCGCACCTTCCGCGCGGAGGGTGCCGCCGCGAGGAGGCTGCGGCGGCCGCCGCGATGAGGCCGCCGCGGCCGCCGCAATGAGGCCGCGGCGATACGGCGCCGTGGCAGCGCGGCACCTGCCGCGCGCAAGGCGCGGAAGGTGCAGGTCGGGGGATCGCCGCGATGCCCGGAGGACTGGGCGAGCTTCGTGGGCGAGGGAGCTCTGGGGCAGGAGGTGACGCGCACGAGGGCCCCACTCTCAGGCGATCGCAAACATGGATCAACGGGGCGTGGATCAGCGACGGGCCCCGTTTCCAGGGGGAGTCGCGGATTTCCGCCGCCGAGCGAGGCGGCACAGGCCGCGTTTTGTGGAGGGCACCTCCCCCGATCCATGGATTTGGCGACCGCGCGCCAAATCCACGGATCGCTAGCCCACGTTTGCGCGCCCCCGGCACTCCAGCATGGAGCGAGGGCCCGGAGCTCCGCCGTGCCCGGGGCGGCGCTGGAGGGCAGAGTCGGGGCCCGAAGCGTCGGCGCCAACACCCCGCTCGAACTCCAAAGACAGAATCACACACACAGTAAGAACAGAAACGTACCCCGCTCACAGTTAAGATAACGAGACCAGAAACAAGAATGAACACAATCAGAAGAAAAAACGCCCCGTTCAAAGCTTGGGCCTCCCAGCCTCCCAGTGAGTGGGAACCCGAGAAAACGGGGTCGGGGGATCGCGCCGCAACGCCGATGCATCAAAGATGCGGCTTGATGTGGGGCCTGGTTTTCTGCACGCCGATAGCGCCGATGCGCCATGGCGCCATGCATCGCCGATGCCTCGCAGATGCATTGGCGACGCGGCGCAATCCTCCGACCCCATCGACTCGGACCCCATCTAGGAGGCCTCTGAACGTGGGGCTGTCGCAAGCAGAAAGAGGCGCGTGGTCCTTTCTGGGGCGGTCGCGGCGCTGACTCCAAGCGAGCTCCCAGGCCGCCCGCAGGGGTCGCCCAGGTGTTCGCGAGCTTCGCGGCCTGGGGCCGCGAGATCCCCGCCTCGCGCGTCGCGCGGTGCGGAGCGCGAGGCTACGGCCAAAGCTCGCTGAAATCCGGGCCGCCCTCGGCTCGGGAGGGGCGCCGGTTTCCGGGGCCGTTTCTCTGATCTGGGTCGGGGAGCTTGTCGGTCGCCTGTAGCCTTGAGATCCTGGCGCCTCAACTGTTTCGAGCTGGGCTTCTTCGCTCCTTCTCCGGGCACAACAAAGAACCACAACGACAACTAAGTGGATCTGTCTGGAGGTCTCCTCGGGGGATCACCCACCGGCCTCGACATAAGCACTGTGATTGTGGTTGTGGTCGAATTTGGCCGTCTGGGACGCCCACATTGACCACAACCAGTACTAAGCTGGTTTCGGTGTTCTGACGATTGTTGGCAAGCGCAAAACATCCCCCAGGCTGCGTCTCGATGTGGTTGTGGCCGCTTGCTGTTCCCGCACCTTCTCGGGCCCCAGGTCCGGGCTCTCACAGGTCGATCCAGTTCGAAGAATGAGGCAGAAAGACGGGGTCCAGGGCTCCGGGCGTGGCTTTTTAAGGTGTCGCAATTTTTCCGCTACGTCTGATCTCAGGGGGTCTCGCGGCGGCACCACAAAAAAAAACGCCCCTTCGTTCCTGATTCGGCGCTGCCGATTGCAGCACGCTGGCTGGAGGTGGCCCACGGACCTCGCGGGCGCCCTTTCGGCGGGCGTCGGGGTGGGATCTCACGGGGGCCCCGCCTCGCGGCGGGCGGAGGGAGCGGGAGCCCAGGCCTCTGCAGCTCCGGGGCGGCGTGGGAGGGCAGGGCCGTGGCTCGAGGTGTCGGCGCCGGCACGGGCTGGGCCAGCAGCGAAGTGCAGGACGCAGGTCGCCATGGTCTTGGCATCGCTCGGACGTGTGCCCTCTTCCTCGGCGAGAGCCATCGAGGAGCATGCCTGCTCCCCTTGCAGAAGGTACACGCACGAAGACGAATAATGCACAGGAAATGGACGTCCGAGCGATGGCGAGTTGTGGCCCAAGCCATGTCAGGGCATCCTGGCAATAGCTGGTTTAGCTCGGGCGGTTTGGGCTGCAGCAGACCGCTCTGGCTCGCTGCAGCTACAGCTCAACGGGCAGATCAATGTACAAGGCCGCGCCATTGCACACACTGTTCTTGCCGTTTTCATGACTTCTCAGAGTCGTCCCCTTTCGCAGTGCAGGCCGCCAAATTCATGCTCGCGCTGAGCAATTTCCCCCGGCACACCTGGAACGAAGACAGTTGCGGCCTTTGAAGAAATTCATCTCGCCAGGAGAGAATGAACAAAAATACGAAGTATCAATGATTCACTGGCTTACGCCACACCGCCGACCCCTTGGGGCGGCAGCACTCGTCCCCCGCGTGGCCTGTACGGACAGCCTTTGAGGCCCCTCTACGTTGTGGGGCCCTTTTAGGACCGTCCTGCCGTTCTCCCGGGCCGTTGCTATGGTTTCCGGGGCCTTCGTGGGGCGCCTGGAGGCCGTCGTGGAGCCTTTTGGAAAGTCTTTTGGGGTGCCAGAGGTCGATCTTGGAGGTTTACTGGGCCGTTGTAGGCCTCGTGGAAGCCCAAGAAGCGAATATGCTAAAGGTGTACGTTTTACCTAGGGAATGGGACGGTTTTTGCTTCTGGAGGCCTGCTTGGAGCGCCTCGTGGTCGCGTTTTCAAACGTCTTGGACGGCCATGGGGCTGTCTGGAGGCAATCTTGGGCGTCCCCCGCGTGGGCCGTAAGGTCAGCCTTTGGGAGCCCTCTTGGCCCGTTTGGGAGCCCTCTTGGGACCGTCCCCTCCCCCCCTCCAAACTGGCTGGACCAGGCCCTCGGTGGAGGGGTTTGGGGTGGGGAAAGCAGCTCACACGCCGTGACCCCAAGGGGTCGTCGACTGGAGTAAAGAATCCAGGATGGACCGCTTCAAACTCGAAGCTGAAAAGGAACATCCAAATGGCCAATACATCTAAGAAGCTCTTGGAACTTGTGACTGCAGCAATCCGCGATGGCACGATCGAGATCACTGCGTGTTGGAGCTACCATGCAGAAATGTGGACAGATGAAAGCGTTGGACACATGTTAAAAAATCTGGAATTTGCAGAAGCGCTCGGGTTTTAAATTATCGATCTAGTTGCGTTCGTTGGCCGACTGTGTGCGAGGTAAAGATGGCGTTCCGAGAGAAAGGCAACTGATGATCCTGGGCCTTGGCCAGGAAGTATGGCCCGATTCAATGCCGTTTGATGTGATCACGCCTTATGTTGGATCCGCGATTGCGCGTTGTGCCGCCGCCGCCTCTGCAGTGGCTAAATCGGAGAGTCTGCTCTGGGCTGAAGAGATGCTGCAGCTGGCGAAAATCGAGCAGGTGCAGCTTGACGAGATGCATGCTGCGCCATGTGTAAACGTTCTTACTTGGAAAGTCTTGCATCAAAAGGAATACCTTCTTCACAATGTGTCGATGATTGGCTGGTCTCCCAATGAAGTCACGCTGGGAGGCCTTGTCAACATCTACGCGGAAACGCACAATGCCGACCGTGCCCAGAAGTTATGGCGAAGTTTTACAGAACACCATGCATTGACAGCACACGTCATTGCCCACAGGGTCAGGGCCAAGGCCCATATCATGTCAGGTCGACCTGCGGAAGCAATCACTGCATTGAAGATCATGTAATCATGCGGTTTCCCCCTTGAACACAGAAGTGTTTCAACCTTGTTGCAGGTGGGTCTAATCATGTACTACGCTTCTACCCAAGAAGCGGATCGCCACCAGTTTCTCAACTCAGTCAAAAGGACCAGCATTATCGATCATGACGAATTTCAGCGTAAGTCTAGGCAGATGCAGAAATTGCGCAACAGAGTACAAAGGCATCCTTGTTCTGTTCTCCTCGCAGAGGTGTTTGTTTTTCCTTTTGCTCAGAAGAGCTCTTCAACAAAGCAGGCTCAAGCTATTTCTGGGAGTTTGCAGCTATAGGTATGATGCAGCTGTGGCTCGACCACTGAGGGGTACCATACATCCTTCGACGGTCTTCTCAATGATGCCTGTGGGCGTGTGGCTCTAACCCTCATCATCTCAGCGAAGACGAAAAACCGAGTAGTACGGCTTTGGGGAAGGTGCCGTTGAAGTACTGAATCGCTCAGCATCGCTGAGCACAAAACTGCTGCATTCAAACAAATGGAGCCAGAGACGGAGCGCGACCCGAAGTGCTAAAAATGTTACCGGGCGCGTGACGTCTTTCATAAATGGGGGAGGCTGGGGGCGGGACGTTCCCAGGGGGCCGGCGGGCGAAGCCAGTCATGCTCGGCGCAGCGCGAAGCGCGAAATCAGGCGACCCAGATCCCTTGCCGACTTGTGTCGAGCCCGAGGCCAGCGTTTGTGATCACACACTGCTGCGAACGGTGCTCGGGTGGCGTTCGGCGCCGGCGTGGTGCAGTGGCTTCCCGACACTACTGCGGGGTCTTCGTGATGACAAGTCGAGGCTGCGCGGGGCAAGTGCTTGAAATTCCAACGCCGTCGTGCCGTAGGTGGGGTGGTGTCGTGTCGTTTCTAGTCCATGTGAGGCGTGGGGACGCGTGGTTGGCCCGCGCTCCGCCAGTCTCCGCGCCGTTCGGGAGGCCCTCGGCGGCGCGCCAGCGCTCCACAGTCAAGACGCCGAAAGAGGGACCGCTCTGGGCTCATTCGGTAGCAAAGCATGGGAGCCTGGCGTACCCTCTCAATTCCGTCTTTAGCGTCGCCTAGCGTCGATTAGCGTTTGGGAGTCGATGAGCTACCGCCGATTTAGCGTCGGCTAGCGTCGATTTAGCGCCAACTGGCGTCGACCAGCGTCGGTTCATAGGAGCCGACAAGATGGTATGAGAGGCTCCCGTGAGTAGCCACCAAGGGTTCTGGCGGGGCTCGATGTTCCTTGGGTCGCTCTCTGGTGGTTTCCCCTGGCCCTCCTCGTGGACCCTCGCTCTTTTGATGTCAACACGGGCGTCGTTCCTTGCTTAGCGTTTCTTTTTGCAGCAGCTTGACTGTAGTATACGACCTGGGGTGTTCGCGCGTCTTTCGCCAGACGATGAGCAGGGCCATCTGGTTGCCCCGAATAGCCGCACGCTGGGGCGGATTGCTTGTGCCTGGTCGCCGACGGAAAAAGTTCGCGCGTCTCGGTCAGCCCGAGCGGGGGGTCTCGCGTTCGGCGCGACCGAGGGTGCACTCCTGAATGGCACAGCTGGACGGTAAGATGCTACTTTCCAGTGCGAGGCGTTGTCTTGGCAGGAACGCACAGGAACGCGCCTACGGTCGCGCCGAAGGCGAGAATCCTGGCTGGGGCAATCAAAGACGCGCGAACAGCCGATGAAACGAGAACCGATCTTTGCTGCTCAGGGACGGGATGCACTCGCGGTGGATGTTGGCGACGGTTCTGCGTGGAGGCTTGGAGCACGCGGCTCTGTGCGGGAGGTGCGTGCAGGACAGAGGGGGAGGGACCCTTCTCTTGTTCCTGCTCTTGCTCCTCCTCGGCGACTAGACGAGAACATATGCTGATGCCTGTGTTCGGACCTGCGCAGAGCAGGAGGGGGCGGGGAAGGGGAGGAGGCGGAGGGACTCCTCCTCCTTTTCCTCCTCCTTGTCCTCCTCCTCCTCCTCCTCCTCCTCCTCCTCCTCTTCCGCTGGCTTGATGGGGGGACTGGGGCAGGGGAGGGGGCGATCCCACCAATCGCCCGTTGGGCATGACCGCCTCCCGCGGCCAAGGGTCCAGCTGTCTTCCGAGCGGCGATCTGTCCGCGATATCTCGACGATGGATTTACAATGCCGGGACAATTCGTGCGATGCCCGAGAACCTCGTCACCCACCCCCCCCCGAGCTGGCAACCTTTGTAGCGCCCCCTCTTGCGATGAGGATCTGAAAAGAGATGGAGGAAGAAGCGGGAGCCTAGAGGGAGAGAGGGAGAGAGAGAGACGGAGACAGTTAGAACGAGAGAGAAACCAGGGTGCAGTTGGAAAGAGAGCGAGAGGCAGAGAGAGAGAGAGGGAGACAGCGAGACAGAGAGACCGAGAGAAAGAGCGAGCGACAGAGAGAGAAAGGGGAGTGGCGGCAGAGGTCCGGCTCCAACCCGCTCCTCCTTCTCCCACGTTCTCCTCCCCCACCCCGTGCTCCACCCCCCTCCTCCTCCTTCTCCGCCTCCTCTTGCTCCCTCCTGCTCCTTCCGACCTTTTCATCCTTATCATCCTCCTCCCTCCTCCTTCTTCTGTCTCCTCCTTATCCCCCCCTCAACCCGGCCCTCTCCTCCACCTCCTGCTCCTCCTCCTCTTCCTGCTTCTCCTCCTCGATCCCCCTCCTCCTCCCTCCTCCTCCTCCTTCTCCTCCGCCTCCTCCTCCTCCTCCTCAACCTCCTCCTCCTCCTTTTCCTCGCGTCCTCCTCTCTCATCCTTTTTCTGCCTCCTCATCCTCCTTCTTCTCCTCATTCTCCTACTCCTCATTCTCCTCCCTCCATTCTTCTCCTCCTCCTCCTCCTGCTGCTGATCCTCCTGCCTCCTCCTCCTCCTCCTCTCCCTCCTCCTCCTCGTCCTCCTTCTCCTCCTCCTCCTGCTCCTCCTCCTCTTCCTCGGCCTCCTCCTCCTCCTCCTCCTCCTCCTCCTCCTCCTCCTCCTCCTTCTCCCCCTCCCTCGTCCTTCTTCTGCCTCCTCGTTACCCTCCTTCTCCTCAAACCGGCGCTCTTCTCCTCCTCCTCCTCCTCCTCCTCCTCCTCCGCCTTCTCCCTTTCTTCCTCCTCATCCTTCTCCTCATCCTGTCCCGGCCCTCTCCATCTCCTCCTCTGGCTTCCCTCCTTCTCATCCTCCTTCTCATCCTCCTCGCTCCTCCTCCTCCTCCTCCTCCTCCTCTTCCTCCTTCTCCTTGTCGTCGTCGTCGTCATCATCATCAGCAGCAGCATCAGCATCATCATCATACTAGTAATCACCAACATCATCAGCAGCATCATCGTCATCGTCATCGTCATCGTCGTCGTCATCGTCATCGTCATCGTCATCGTCATCGTCATCATCAGCAGCATCATCGTCATCATCAGCATCATCATCAACAGCATCATCATAACCAGTTTCACCCTCACCACCATCACCACAACCACCATCATCATCATCATCATCATCATCAGCATCATCATCATCGTCATCATCATCATTATCATCAACATCATCATCAGCATCATCTTCAGCATCATCATCATCGGCATCGTCATCATCATCGTCATCGTCATCGTCATCGTCATCATCATCAGCAGCATTATCATCATCATCATCATCATCATCATCATCATCATCATCATCATCTTCATCATCATCTTCATCATCATCATCATCATCATCATCGTCATCATCATCATCATCATCATCATCATCATCATCATCATCATCATCGTTTGCCTCCCTCCTCCTCGTCACTCCTCTGCCTCATCCTCATTCCTCTCCTCCTCCTCCTCCTCCTCCTTTTCCCCCTCCTGATCTTCTTCCTCCTCGCACCCTCTTCATTATCTCTCCTTATTATCCTCATATTTCTCCTCCTCCTCCTCCTCCTCCTCCCTCCTCCCCCTCCTCCCTCCTCCTCCCGCCTCCTCCTCCCCCTCCTCCCTCCCTCCCTCCTCCCTCCTCCCTCCTCCCTCCTCCCTCCTCCCTCCTGACTCCTCCCTCCTCCCTCCTCCCTCCTCCGTCCTCCCTCCGCCCTCTGCGAGGACAGCAGGATACACATGGACGTGAAGCCGGGGCGCCTAAACCCGACTGCACGAGCCCGCGCGATCGACGCGGCCGCGCGTCCGCGCGTACGAGTCTCCCTGGCCGCCCCTCCCGCGCGGGCCCGGCGTCTCGTCCGGGTCGCAGTGCCGGGCCTCCGCAGAGCTCCGACTTCGGCCCTCGGGCGCCCCCTCGGCTCTTCGGCTCTTCGGGGGCCGGTCCCTGAGACCCTGGCGTCTCCATTTTGTCGAGCCGGGCGTTGGCGCCTTTTGTCGTGCCCTATAGGTATGGGACCCTCGCAGACGGATCCAGCTCGAAACACGACGCAGAAAGATGGGGTCTCTGGGGCTCCGGGCGTGATTCTTCACGATGTTGCGATTTTTTTCGCTACGTCGGGCCTCAGGGGTGGGGCTCCGGGCTGCGCACGGACAGGCCCCCCAAGCAGTCACGGCGCTGGCCTCGAGGCGGGCGGCCCCCCCCGAGCAGCCCCAGCGGGCCTCAATGGGAACTGCCCCCAGACATGATCGCGCCGTAAAAGAAGTCAGGACGGGAGGTTTTTGGGCACTCGCCGGGCCTCGGGAACGCCCAAACACGATTCAGGATGATGAAGGTCCGGTCCCGGGGAAAGGGTCGGGACTCCAGGGGCCCCAGGAGATGTATTGTCAGGAGCTGCAGCAGATTGTCGGATGTATTGTCAGATGTATGTATGAAGTGGAACCGTTATTAGATGCCAATCGGATTCCAATCGGATCCCAGTTGGATTAAAGGCCTTCACTCGGATTCCACGATTCTAAGGCAATCTTTATGGGATCCCAACAAAGTTCGAATCGGATTGAAATCAGAAGCCAACGTGGATGGAATAATTTCCCGACATCTTCCAGCAAGGGTCGGAATCAATGTTTTGTTTTTATCCCCCCCTCATGTTTCATTGACCGTCATCTTGCATTACGTGGAGGGGGCCCAGTCCGAGGACGGCTTCGGGGGAGCGAGGGGAGTAATATTCATATGGGGGAGGGGGAGGAGGGGGGAGGAGCGGGGGAGGAAGAGGAGGAGGTTGGGCAGGAGGAGGAGGAGGAGGAGGAGAAGGAGCAGGAGGAGGAGAGGGAGGACGAGGAGGAGGGGCAGGAGGAGGAGGAGGAGCGGCAGGAGGAGGAAGAGGATGATGATGATGATGATGATGATGATGATGATGATGATGATGATGATGATGATGATGATGATGATGAGGAGGAGGAGGAGGAGGAGGAGGAGGAGGAGGAGGAGGAGAAGGAAGAGGAGCGTCACGTGTTGCAGCTGAGGCTCGAGAACCTGATGCTGCTTGCGCCTGACGGCCCTCCGCACCTGGTGCTCATCGATCTGGGCATCGTGGAGAGCTTCACGGCGGGCCCCGCTTCCCGGCAGGGCAGGGCACGCTTGCGGTCAGGCCCCCGGAGACCAGGACACAGATAAAACAGGACACAGAGCACCAAGGAAACGACGCCCGTTCCTGCAAAGTCGCAGTTCTCAGCACCCGTGCATTTTTTTTGTTTGCTGCGCTGCAGGATTCGGGTTTGTGTCGGGGTTTAGGGGGCTCTTGTTGCAGGCTTCTGGGGCCTGTGTCCAGGCTTATTCTGGAAATGCTGGTTTCGAGGGATGTTGGGTATCCGGGTCTAGCGCGTCCGGGTCTACGGGGCCCTGACGCGGCAGTCATTGCACTTTTGTCGCAACGTCGGAAGTTAGGGTTTGGGCACTTTTGGGGTTCTCGGGGTCCCTCAGCAGGACCCCGGGACCATCGACGAACAACTAAGGATGAATAGCCGGTCCTGCGGGTCGAGACTTGGGGGGCCCACGCTGCAGAGAGAAAGTCGCGACGTCGAAGTGATGGGGCAACATCCGTGGGATGCCGCAGGCACGCTGGCGGCGATATGGGTAACGGCGACGTGGCTTTAGGAAGTGTAGGTGGGTTGGTTCGTGGCCGACCTACTTCTAGGAGAGGTATGCTCCCCAGACCTCCGACGTCGTGATTTCTTCACAACGTCGACCCCCAGAGGTCTGGACCCCTTCCCCTGGACTGGTTGTTCACTCTGAGTCGTGATTTGACGGTCCCGAGGCCCGGTGAGGGCCCCCGGAGGCTGTAAATAGCGAAAACATTCCCGTCGTGATTTGTTCATAACGCGAGGATGTCTGGGTCGCGGGGAGCATCCGGGGGAGGCGGAGGGCCAAGAGGGCGCTGCTGTGTCTGGCCCGTGCCCGGCATCCGTCGAGCAGCGGCCGGCGAAGAGGAGCGCCGTCGAGGGGAGGGGAGCTCCTCTTCCTCCTCCTCCTTCTCCCCCTACCTCCTCCTCCTCCTCCTCCTCCTCCTCCTCCAGGGCGAGCAGGGGTGGAAGGGGGAAATGAGGAGAAGACCCGGATCCCAGCCATCGAGGGGGCAGAGCCCAGCACCGCAGGGAGCTCGAGAACGATCGGATTGCTCGACAGGCCCGTTGATCCCTTGAGAGCTGCGACGGGCTGGCATCTGCAAGACGTCCGCTGGCCTCGCCTCTTTCGACCTCTCTTGCTCCCAGGGCTTGGTGACGGCGCTCCTCATCCGATTCTTCGGTCTCATCCTCATCATCCTCATCCTCGCGCCTTCCCCTCCCCATCCTCGCTCCTCCCCCTCTTCCTCCTTCCCCTCAGCCTCCTCCTCATCCTCCTCCTCCTCATCCTCCTCCTCATCCTCGTTCCGCTGCCGACAAAGGTCCAGCAGGTCCCCATTATCATCCTCCTCTTTCTCCTCCTCCTCCTCATCATTATCCTCCCTTGTGTGTTTTCATGGGCACCAGGTGCTGGTGACCTCGGGTGCCATGGTGTGCACGTGGTGCGGCTCCTATCAGGCGTCTTGTGGCAAGGTAGGCAATTTCAATCTCGATCAGGACGGTCAGGTGCCCTCGAAGGATTCGCAGGCCAGGTCACGGAGGGGGCCGAACTGTCATTTACTGTCCCTAAGTGCGTGGCTGATGTGGGCATCTGCGGGGCGGGGCGGGTTGGTGTCGTTGTTGTTGATGATGCTGTTATTGTTTGCATTGTTTTGTTGTTGGTGGTGGTTGTGGTGTTGTTGTTATTGATAATATTGTTGTTGCTAGTGTTGTTGTTGCTGCTGTTGTTGTTGTTGCTGTTGTTGTTGTTTGCCTTGTTGGTGGTGGTGCTATTGTTGATGTTGATGTTGCTGTTGTTGTTGGTGCTGATGTTGCTGTTGGTGTTGCTGTTGCTGCTGATGGTGATATGGGTGTTGTTGGTGCTGGTGTTGGTGTTGGTGTTGGTGTTGTTGTTGCTGCTGTTGTTAGTTTGTTGATGTTGTTAGTGTTGTTGCTGTTGTTGGTGGTGGTGGCGGTGGTGTTGGTGTTGGTGTTGGTGTTCGTTTTCGTGTTCGTGTTGCCGTTGGTGTTGCTGTTCATGCTGTTGCTGCTGCTGTTGTCGTTGTTGTTGTTGTGTTGTTGTTGTTGTTGTTGTTGTTGCTGGTTGGTTGTTGTTTGTTGGGTGTTTTTCGTTGTGTGTTGCTTGTTGTATGTTGCTTGTTGCTTGTTGTTTGGTGCTTGTTGTTTGTTGTTTGGTGTTTGTTGTCGCCGTTCCGCCTGCGACCCGGCCCTCGACCCACCCGCGACCCACCCGCGACCCACCCGCGACCCACCCGCGACCTACCCGCCACCCAACCCGCGACCCACCCCGCGACCCACCCGCGACCTTGCGCGACCCACCCGCGATCCACACCGCAACCCGACTGCGACCCGCCCGCGACTCACCCGCGACACACCGCGCGACCCGCCCGCGACCCACCCGCGACCCATCTGCGGCCCACTCGCAACCCACCCGCGATCCACGCGCAACCCACCCGCGACCCACCCGTGACCCACCCGCGACCCACCCGCGACCCACCCTGCGACCCACCCGCGACCCACCCGCGCCTGCCCCCTCACTTTTACCCGCAATTGCGAGGTGCTACATATAGACAGCGATATAATTTGAAGGCTGTCAGTGCTGGCAAGCACCCCCAAGACGGGCGAGACACTCGCTCAATTTTCTCATGGCCCAGCAGGGCCCAATGTTGGCCAGTGCTCCTGTTTCTTCGCTGCACGACTGGTCATCGGCGTTGTCTCCTCCTGTGCTGGTTTTGCGCACACCTATGCCGTATAGTTCGGCTTTCGTGTTCACTATGTGTAGTTGCGTGCTCAGGCTTTGCATTCTTCTGCGTCGAGCTTTCTGCCCGATTCGACTTTGCAGGTTGTGGTTTTGGAGCTTCCCCAGCGGTGGACGGTTCGCTCCTCCTCCTCCTCCTCCTCCTCCTCCTCCTCCTCCTCCTCCATGCGTTTGCGTCGCTATCCGCCCAACTTCCTCGATGCAGAGAGATCCGCCCTACGTGGTCGCATCGTTTGGGGGTGCACGTCCGACACGCTCTTCCACAGGAGCTTCAGCCAAGGCACGGCGGATCCGAAGCCAGGGCGGCCCCCGAGGGCCGAGAGCTCGAGGCACAGGTCGTTTGCGTGGGCTCCCCCCTGCCGCCGCCCCCCGACGACAGGGCGGCCCCGGTGGCCCCACAACTAGCGGCCCCCAAGGGCCGTGAGCGAGGAAGCGGCGCCAGCTCAGAGATCGGCTGCGAGCGACAGGGGCAACGTGAGATGGAGAAGGCCTTTTCGGCAGGCGGCGGGGCTTCTCAGAGGCCCTCGCGCTTCTCGTCGGCTCTCGACCGTGTTCCAGCCTCGGGATGCGTTCCAGCGGCTGCGCCTCGGCGAGAGCGTTCCGGGGGCGCCAGGATCGTCCTGATCGGCCGCAGGAGACCCGAGTTATGAGCCAACGACCAAATTCGGCGGCGCGGCGGTGGGGAAATTAGAAGGCGTTCTTGGAAGGCGGCAGGGCTTCTCAGAAGCCCCTCGCGCTTTCTGAGCAGTTTTCGGTGTCCTCGGGGGACGCTCGGAGAACTTCTCAGATGAAGGCCGGGAGACTTCGGATCCTTCTTAGAAGGCCCGCCCCTTCTCACTCCCCCCCCCGGCTCGCCGCCGAAGAGAGCCCTCGACCTGCACCTTCCGCACCTTCCGCGCGGCATGTGCCACGCTGTCGCGGCCGCCGCCGCGGCGGCCGCAGCGGCGGCTACTGTCGAGGCCGCAGCGGCGGCCTCGGCGGCCGCGGCGGCCGCCGCGACCGCATCGTGGCGGCACCTCAGGGAGGTGCAGGTGCAGGCGCAGGTCGAGGAAGTCACATCCTCTCACCGAGCGCGGTCCGCTACTCGCAAAGTGCCTTCTCGCAAACGTCCGAACAAAAACAAACGTGGAGTCCTCCTTATGCAATGGATCGTAGATCCCCCGCGGCGGGTCCAGGCCATTTGCGAGCTGTTGCGTTGCGAGTAGTGGAGCGCGCTTGTCTACCCTCGGTGATCTGGGCTCCCAGACCCCCGACGTCGTGATTTTTGTCGCAACATCGACCCCCAGAGGTCTGGACCCGGGAGCGGTTCCTCATCCCGAGCCGTTTTTTTGGACGGTCCCGAGGCCCAGTATAAGGGCCCCCGGAGGCCGAGAACGGCCAAGAGAACCGCCCGTCTTGATTTCTTCACGACGCGAGGGTGGCCTGCAGGGGCCTGGGCGCCTGTTTTGCCCCGGCCTCCCCCTGCAGGGCGGCGGCGCCGCCACGGCGGGCGCCGGCGCGCCGGAGGAGGCGCCGAGGCTGGGAGGCACGCCCGCGACGATGGTGCCAGGGGGGGTGTCGTGCCGATGGGGCACTTGCTGGAGTGCGTGAGCGGGTGTCGTCGTCCTCCTCCTCCTCCTCCTCCTCCTCCTCCTCCTCCTCCTCCTCCTCGTCCTCCTCCTCCTCCTCCTCCTCCTCCTCGTCCTCCTCCTCCTCCTGCTTGCACGGCGTCGAGAGGGGCAGGAGGCCGCGGGGTCTCTAGCCGGTGGCGTTGACGACGTTGCCCCTCTACGCTGGGCTCCTCCTCCTCCTCCTCCTCCTCCTCCTCCTGCTCCTCCTGCTCCTCCTGCTCCTCCTGCTCCTTCTCCTCCCCCTCCTGCTCCTGCTCCTCTCCTCCTGCTCCTGCTCCTCCTCCTCCTCCTCCTGCTCCTGCTCCTTCTCCTCTCCTTCCTCCTCCTCCTCCTCCTCCTCCTCCTCCTCCTGCTCCTCCTCCTCTCAAAATCGCGCACGCTTGGATTTTAGCTTTTCGACACCTCACCCCCAAGTTATCGGCCACGCAGCCGGGACAGACTCAACACCACATATTAGGACCGCGCCCGCTTGGATTTTAGCTTGAACCGCCGCCCAGGGGCGGACAAATCCAGCCCCCCCCAGCAAGGCGCGCGCGCTTTGGTTCTAACTTGTCGCGTCCCCCCAGGGTGGACCAAGCACACATCCGGGTCCCACTTCGTGGGGCCTAACATGTCGTT